ATGCAAACATATCGGAGGCGTCACCGTCGATGCATTCTGTGGGCATGCTAGGAAGCCGGGTGATGTCGGGGCAGTCTGTGGATGACTTCAGCACTACAGGCCCTTATAAAGCCAATGCTTCCAGTACCATCTTAGATACAGGTTTAAATATTTGACCCAGTGAGCACCTTGTCTACATACAACATTTCTCCTATTCATTTTTTTCCTACATACTTTTTTTTTTTTGCAGGCATAAATCCATTTGGCTAGACATTTTGTTCACAAGACAAACAACACACAGAAAGGTTAACTTGTTGGCACTACAGATCATTCATCTTGCAAGACAGAGGAAGGCATAGACAGAAATACATTAACAATCGTCAAATAAATGGCTGAACTTCGTCATAAGTGTCGTTCTATTACTCAAGTGAACCTGTAAGATGATGGACATTCTGATTCCTTATTAATTCCAATTTCACCTAAAGGAGTAGAAGCGCACACAGGCTGTGTTCCAACTAGGAAAATGTGTAACCCAACATTCAAGTAGATATTAAGTATTGCCTTTGCATTTAGAATACTCTGGTAATTTAGTTTTGCAAAGATGAATCTTCTTCACCTAAAGACAGGAATGTCATTACATTGAGCCCATTCGCTGTGTGGGTTTAGGTCGAACTTGATCCTTTTGGTTACAGTACTGTGTGTAACATGAAAGGAGAAAAAAGACACTGGCATTGTTGTTTGCTGTACTGGCTGCCATGGCTAGATAGAAGCACCCAGAGAAACAAGGCACCACAAAATATCTGACATTACAGGGTTGATGTTGCCCACCCTTCTTGGTGTATGTAATGTTGTGGTGAAGGACTTGAGTGTCTATTGATTATACAGCTATTTGTCTGTGATTCATTGTCCTGTAAGGCAGTAATCTAAACGAACTTATTCAGAATTTCCATGTGCCGACTGAGTCCTCTTGCGAATCGCCCTGTTAAAATCCTTTCAGATACAGCAGTGAACAAGTGGAATAAGGGAAGAAGGAATCACAGTGTATTTGCACCTGGTTAAATGTTTATCTCTCTCCTCGAAGAGTGTTAATACTGTAGCAACTGAGACTGAGTATGTGAAGTGTGAACACACTATGGGATGCCAGGCAGCCAAGTCATCCAACCATCGCACCCATTTAATCATTCACACCATCATGAATCATAGAATAGGAGAGTTGGTGAAATCCCAGCAAACAACAGTGCAATGATGTGCCAAGCACCTAGAAGAGCTGTAGACCTGTGGGTTCAACAGTAACCATAAAGGCTTAGGGACAGGCTAGGGCAGGTAGATCACACGAGTTACACTAATGCTACAGGACCTACATTCTTAAAAATTAAAGTGACAAATGGAAGCAAAAAGGGTTATTTTTCTGGAAGCAACGCTGGAGAAGAGCCAACCTTTCAATGGACAGGTTTGAAGAATGTTTTTTTTTTTTTAATATGTGGGTGTAAAGAACCTTTATAACATTTAAAGAACCTCTACAAAATGTAAATGTTCTAGATCACTTGACCATTTGCAAAATTCTGAGAAACACCCCACCTCCTTTAGTTATTGTCATTATGGCCATCAAACTTTCAGTTCAGGCTATCCGGTAGCATCTGTAGCACTCACTTATGTGCTAACAGACTAAAATGTTCAATAGTACAATAGAAAATTTAGAAGCACACAGAAAAGCACATTTAAAATGTTTTACATTCAAAAGCTGGCTTTACAAGATGTTTATTGCAGACACACGTTTAAAAACTTGCAAATATACATGTAGGCCAATTTAATGCTAACAAAAAATGCAATTTGATAAGGAAGAGAGTTTAGCAACAGAAGCTACACCTTCAGATAAGCTAATACTAGAGCTGGTGGGAGAAACATTAGATGCTGAGGAAGACCCACTATCTTTTACACAAGGTATTTCTGCAAGATTAATTAAACAATACACAGATGGCATGTCGTGTACAAGTGCATTAGTATTTATCTTTATATACAATGCTTTTGATCAAATGTGGGATCTGTAAAGTCCTGCTTACTTTGACTGTTTTATCAAGCTAACTGTCATCAGCTAAGTTTAAAAAAAGGCTAACAAGTTAGCTAACTGTTCTTTACACTTTTCTGTTATGTTATTTATCTTTAGACATCAAATTAAACTTATTTTTTAACAAAAACAGTAACGTATTAGCTTAGTTTAGCTAGTTTAGCTTACTTTAGAGCTGTATAAATGTGCCAGTTGATGATTTTGAGTTTTGGTCTTCTAACTTTCAGCTTCAGGAATGAAATAAAAACACCACCACCCTCCAGATGATGGGAATAGTATGTTTCGGGCATTATACGTTCCTCAGTAACAACCTGCCACCATTTCTTAGTCTAATAATTCAGACTAATTTATTACGAGCGTCATTCTTACTGGAGGATTGTTCTGAGGAGGATGGAGAAAGGAATGTTTAGAGATAACTGTGATTGGTTGAGAGGCATGTCAATCATAATTTTGCAAACAGTCAATCAAAGGTTTCACTTACAAACATAAACCCAAGCCAAAACAATTTGAGAACCTTTATTTTTAAGACTGTAGGCTGTAGCATAAACCTGGTAGACTACCTTCCCAGAAGAAATACTGATTAAGAGCTGTGACTAAAACTATAAAGTAATACCAGACCAAGCTGAAGTCTTGAAGCTATCCAGAAACTAGCATGAAAGACTCTAGCATGACACAGTTCTCTATGCTAATTTCAAACTGGAAACTCAAGTTTCTAAACAAGAGGGTTTGGGAGATTTATTTGCATTGTTAACTAGTGGAAATTATGAAACATTGCAAATGGTTTCCTGTCCCATTTGACCTTCAATCCCTTAGGCCAGTTTATGAACCCAGGCTGCTGTCTTGTGATATAACCTTTGCATCAGAGTTTTCCCAATCACGCTTACATAATAGGGGTGTAAGGGCCAAAGCAGCAACCAAGGATGGAGCCAAACTACTGGACACCAGATCCAGCCATCAGTAGAATAGAAATGTGTGCATGAACACACACACATACGTATACATCATTGTTTGTCCAGTCATTCTTTTCCATCCCTGGCAAAAACCCATCACCCCTTCCATTACAACCAGTCTGAGATCACAGCAGGCACAAAGGGGTCTGTAGTAGCCCATGTCTCCATTTTTGTGGTGAACCTTGGCATCCCATATTCGTATTTGTACTTATTACGCTGCTGAGACAAATTATATTACAAACAAAATGTTAAAGGTTATATATAGCACATTATCAGAAAAATCAGAAAACAAAAAAAAAGTTTTCTGTTGTGCAACTGAGAATAAAATATGTGCACTGACATCAGTCCCTGTGGCAAACTCATCACAAGCCCCAAAAAATGGATGGAGAATACCACATTCACTTTCAGATTCACGCTTTTCTCAAAGGAGGCGAAGTGCTCTATGTACAGGAAATTGACGATAATGCGGCAGGGCTTTGTTCCAATTATTTTGCAAAAGAGAAGCACCATTGAAACACTCACACGTTGGCTGGCACATATCGAGAACCCAATTACTCATCAAAGTGCGCAGCCTTGGCATGCATTCTTTAGAGTAAAAATCAGGTGATTTAAGGTAAAGTAACCTTTTCTTTTGTGATTATTACAACGCACACCAACATATAAAGGAATATGCCTTCTAATGAAAAAACGATAGTAAGAATAGTTTGTCGTTTACAAAGTTTTTTTCCACTCAAAGTCTATTTTCAACTACAGTAAAATGGGTATAGAGGCCAATTTCATCTGGAACCTTCAATTGAGTAGGGAATGATGGAGGATTCTTAGAGATTAATGCTAGCACCACATTTTGCAAGGATTTCATTTTCTGTTGTAAGCTGTAATATAATACCAAAACCAATGTGATTTATTAGGATTTTTTTTTTCATCTCTAGCTACTGTTTTGATAAAACCCTGCTCCTTCCAATCTTTGGGAACTTCTCATTCACAGAATTTGTTTAAAAAAAAATACATACACTTCATAAGCCTTTAGCCATATATGCAAAATATCTCATCAGTTGTGCTATCATTTACAAAGAATACAAAAAATATGTGTAAAATGGGCCAAATGTAAACACTCATGCTCTGCATTCACACATACAACTCAGACCAGTAGACCTCACTCCACTAATGGGTAAAGTATGAAAAAATGTAAAGGCATTTAATACAGATACCTTAAGGCCTTCTTATTCAGTAAAATGCCTCTGGCAGTGTTATTTGCCCATACCTACACAACAATTGTAGCATAATGTGATTACTTGTAATATGGGGATTGTGTACTTTTTAGATTTAATTGCAAATGTAAATTAAATCCACTAACATGTAAACATCTAACATATATCCATAAAGCAGCACACAGTTTTATTTATATGAAAGTTAGCAAATTTTCTTTGAGACTTTAACGAGGGTCAGTAAAGAGCTATTTAGAAACTTTCGCCCTCTTATCCACTGAAAGGATGAAGAGAGGTGGAAAACGTGCTGCTGGTTGAGTGTGCTTTTGTTTTGCAAACAAATGTGCTTTTCAGGATTGTTTGGTTGGTGTTGATTATTTGTTGGTTATTGGCATCAAACCATATTTATAGTCTTCACAATCACTCATAATCATCTTAGGCACAAAATAGTTACCAGAAACCCAAAAGAAGACAATGAGTACTATGGTCCTCCATCATTCCCATGCGGCTTTGCACATCTCAGAGCTGACAGGGACATGGACGCCATCAATCGTACATGTCAGTAGAACACTCACACCGTAACAAGGGCCCAGCTTAAGAAATGCTGAATTTCGGACTTTATACCTTTTCTGCAATAGGTTTTTTTGTTCTCTGTATTTGTGAAAATAAATGTTGATTCTCTGTTTAGACTCTTTTTAGACCTTTGATATACTGTAATAGCTTGACAGAATAACTGAATCAAACAGAGGAAAAATAAGCACCAAATGGAGAGAAGTGAAGCAAAGAGTGAATGAGAGGAGAGAGAGGCTGAGAGAGAGAGAGAGAGAGAGAGAGAGAGAGAGAGAGGATGGCAGCAGAGACTGCCTTTATAGGGAGGACTCGTACTGGAGCAGCTCGTAGAGGAGAGGCCCATCCCTGTACCTGATGCCCACTGCGTTGGGGCTGATGTACTGGAGGATATTTATGGTTCGACGGAGGCGTCGGTCCACAAAGTGCGCATCCCAGGCTGGGTAGCGCTTCCTGGGCATGTCAATCTTTATGAGGGGGCCCTCAGGCCGAATGGGTCTACCTGCTTCATCAGTGGGCTCTGTGGACCTCACTTGGAATACAGGCAGGCAGGTGTCCGTGGCAGTCTCCTCTGGCTCTCCGTAGTCCCCTGCAGCCATGCCCCGCGTGGGAGTGGCCTGAGAGCCCCGAGGCCCTGGGGTAGGGGCCATAGGCTCAGCCTCTGGAGGCAAGGGGAGGCCCCAGAGGAGCTCAGCGCAACAGGAACTGGCCAAGACCCTCAGCCTGGGCCCCATAGGGTGCAAGACCCCATAGTAGAGGATCATGCAGGCCACTCCTAAAGCGAAGCACAGGAAGACGCCGCAGAGGACGGAGGCGGCATAGGAGTCGGTGGTGGTCGGGTCTCTGTAGGCATACCACAGGGCAGTCAGGACCGTGTTCTCCACCAGCACCAGTGAGTAATAGGCCACCATTCGGTATCGGGTCCTGCCTTCCTTGACATTGAACCAGCAGAAGACGTAGACCACGCCGACCACCATGTTGAAGAGCACCTCCTCCCACTTGGACATGCAGAAGTCGGTGCCACCGTGGATCACCCAGAAGGCCATGGCACACCAGTGCAGCACCACGAAAATGCCAAAGTAGAGGTGGAAAACCGAGGCAAAGAGGGCGAAGGAGAGCGCCCGGGAGGAAATGGTGAAAAGGCGCCACAGGAGATGCACCAGAGCTCCTCGGTAGCTCATGCTCTTTTGGTCATCGCGAGAGTCGCGCAGAAGCTTGTGGTAGGAAGCCAGCACCCAAGAGAGAGAGAAGAGGGAGGCGACTGCTGACATGCCTGCAGGGGAGGGCAGGGAGGAACGAGAACAGGAAGAGAAACCGGTAAAAAGAGTAAAACTGACCAAACATATCTTTCACATGTTGGTAAAGGGGACTTCTACCAATTCTGGAGAAACTTACTGAGTCAGAATTTTTGGCCAGGGTGGTGTTAGGAATAGTCGGAGTAGTTTAATGGCTCTAAAGGTCTCTCACAAATAGATGCCTGAGATATTGTTTTAAGACAGTTTTGAAAAGGTCTTGGCCTAAAACATATCGTCGCTGTTCAAGGAAAGACAACTATCTCCAAAATGGTAACTTTACAGGAGATGGCAAAATATTCTTTACTTTTAATGTAAGATATTGTATTCCTAGTCATTTTGGAGCATTTCTATTGGTTCATTCATCATGAAATTTTCACTTGATATAAACAACAGTCACCATGTTCACAAAAATGGAGATGCATGTTTTTCTTTGGACAGCGATGATATGTTTTTAAAAGCCATTTATAGCAGAAAAGTACATGAAGGGAGTACTAATGCACAATAGCCCCCAAAGAATTTTTTATAGATTTACCACTATTTAACCATTATTAATATCACATATAAAAACTCTTTAGACACCTGTATTGTTCACTGGTGGTTTTGGATAGCAAATAAAATGGCTACATTTGCAACATTGTGACCCCTAGTTCCTATCACCACCACTGTTTAGAAATCCAAGAAGGTAAGTTTCTCTACAATAAACCATTCTAAATCAAACCATGAATTTGTTTACATCTCAACTATTAAATTACACAGAATTCCTCTTAAGGCAAATGCTCTTTACTTCAAAGGCAAAGTCAGAGAAAGGGGTGAAAAGACTAGTTTAAAATAATGGCTCACAAAGTTATGACCTGCCATAAAACCTCATATTGTATGTAGTGAGAAAAGAGTTCAGCTCAATATAAAGAAAATTAAAAATGGTCCAACCTTATATAACTCACATATTCTTTGACAGTGTATGTAGCAACTTTATATGAGTGAAATCAGCACCACTCTCTATTTCTCTATTTCACACTCAATCTTAGAGGTGTTCTCTAAGACTTACCTCTTGCTTTTGCTATGTATCGTTTTTATAGCATAGCCAAGTTTACTATTCATCCTGCTGAGCTCAGTGTTCTTCAGGATGTTCATAGAGGCATCTGCGTTGCTGTCAGTGCTGTCACCTCAAACGTGAGAAATGGTCCTACATCTCAGCCTATGTGCTGAGCAGCAGAAAAGGCTTGTCCCCACACATACACTGTTGATAATTCAAAAGTCTCAACCATGACAGTTCTTACACTTTTTTGTTGGACTCATACACAAGTCAGCTTTTTCCAGATATACAGAATGGAAAGGCAATGATGTGCCCCATCTGTACATGATTAAAATGTTTGTGACTTGTTGATGAATTGATGCAACACAAAACTGTGAGATCCAGTCATATTCATATTCTAGTTTGATTTCAAAAACAGAATTGATTAGAGAGTGCTGCAATGCATAATGTTGTTACAGAGCCTAGAGCCATACTCATGAAAAATTAAAAGGCGCCTTTTCAGCAACATTTCTAATCAGGAAACAGAATGGCTTGAGTATGCAATACAGATAAATGACACACAAAACTGCAAAGCCATCCATGTCAACTTAAAGCAAACATTGCTTCTGAAACAAGTATTTTGTACAATAGTAGCAAACTGTACAGTAGTAGTACATCATTTTAGTGCAAAAGAAATCTTTACACCTTAACAATTTAGCCAGTCACACAAACAAAGATACTGTGACATTTACATTTTCAAGACACAAAACCAGTATGACAGTAACACAATGCAGAAACATCAGTAGTCCTAGTATAGAGCCTTGGGGCACTCCTTACACTGCAGCGTCTCGGCACGGTTTTTCTGGATCATGATGCAGAGCTGGAGCACCAGCTGTGGGGCACTCTCAAGAAAGGTCTCAAGCAGCCGAAGCATGTTCACATCAGCATACTCGAACATCATAGCCCAGTAGAAACGCCGCTGGTTCTCCTTTTGCCTGCGACTCTGTATGCCAAGGTACATGGTCCGGATATACCTGCAGATCAGAGATGCACAGGAAAAACAAAGCCAACACAGTGTCAGACTGAAACTTGCATGAAATTACAGAGATTACACAAAACACATAACAAGATTTGTTTAAAAAAAAGACAAAAAGAAATATGATTGAGAGAGGCAACAACAACCAATGTAATTCCTCTTTTTTATCACTTATCCACTGAGTACTAAGATGTACAGCTTTTTGTGTAAAATACTCTCTCAAATTATCAAAATTCCTGTACAGAAAATCCACCAACCTGAAAAGATTACACTGCAGTAGTTCTCACTACTTGGCATGCTTACAGTATACAAAGTCAGTGTACCTCTTTTAATTTACATGCCTGAGGTTGTGCTAATTTATGCTGCTGCTACCAACTCTGCAATTATTGACCACCATAACAAATCAAGTTTTGACACTTTAGTTTCACTCACTAAGCTAGTAGTGCACAGACACTGCATCATTACTTCTGATGCATGCAATTATCCAATATGGCATATATGATAACAGATGACTGCCCTTTAGAGTCAGGAACATCAGCAGTGTATGATAGCTGAATCCTCACATCACTGCCTAATCAGAACAATCAGTGTCTTGGTGGACATGCAAATCGCCAATCCCTCTCTTTCTGCCCACGTTAACATTCACAATTGTATTGAAAACACAGGGTAACTAGTAGCTTTGAATGAATGAATCTGAGACAGATTCCTACAGTTACAAACCCCAGTCAAAATTCAGGTTGCATGTGGTGCATCTGGCTCATGAGGGTCCTAACAGCGCACACAAGGCCAGTGGGAGGCAGGCGTCTGTCTGGGCAGGCATGGAGACAGAGGGTTCCATGTCCCCGCCCGTCTGGAATTGATTGTCTGAAATCAGTCGGCTGGGATTTCTAGCTTAGGCAAACCTCTGAGAATTTATCACATGGTGCTACCATTTTTGGTCTCCTTCTGGTGGTCCAATTTTGGTTCTTTAGGATGCTATTGAGCAGTCATCTAATCTAAATTAGTTATCTTTGGTTAGGTGGAGTACATTGAAAAATATTATGCTCAGGTCAAGGTGAGACGAATGGTACTCACAAGCCCACCGTTCAATAAAACTAAACCGCAACTTAAAATAGTTGTGGTGAGGCCATGACACCACTAGAGGGTACAGTTCACTACCTTGCTGACCGGATCTGCTGATCTACAGCTGCAGCTGAATCTCTGTTTCTCTGGAGATTATCAAGATTTTACTGTCATCACAGCATTTCACCACAAAGCCAACAACATCAGGGGTTTATTGTTTACCAGATGTTTTGACAGAGAAGTGATATACATGCCAGTCACATTTCATGACTCCAAAATGAAAAATAATAGCAAAAAAGCAATGTGGACATACTCTTCTTGTAGCAGTGCCATGGAGTACAATGAGTACTACGAAGGCTTCTCTCTTAAAGGGTCATATCTTATATTTTTATTGTATTTTATTTTTTCCCGCTAGTCCACTTATGACATTTCTGAGGCTTTATGTACCAAAAATGGTCATAGTTCACATTTACATGACTGTTTTCCAATTGCTCTTTATCCCTTAGAATTATGCAGGCTATTTTTGGAATCTGACCTTTAAGACTTATATATGTAAATGACTTCTGATTGGTTGCCCTATATCATGCCTCATTCAAAAAGCACTCAGAGCTGAAACACTCCTTAGACCTTCATGGTGAGAATGGTGAGCGTAAACTGCTGTAGTTTGAATAGGTGGTTTGTATGTAAATGTGCTATTTTTTGTGACATCACAAAAACAATGAATTCAAAATGGGTCTCCACATATGCAATGTATGAAATGCAGAGTGAATGATTTGTTTTAACCATGTTTACATATTACATCAATCTGTTTATTTCAAAAAAGCAAAGAAAACTCATTTTTCCTTGATATTTTTTATAAATAAAATGTATTAAAACGGGTCTTTGGAGCTGTTGAATAACCAATTTTGTCGCTGTTGTGACAAAACCACATATCTACAAAATGGTCACTTTACAGGAAAAGGAAAGATTTTCTTAATTTTGAAAGGAAGATAATGAGACCAGATTTCTTCCTAATTCATTCTGAAGCAGTTGTATTTAATGGTCCATTCATAATGAATTTTTAACACATTGTAAAGGACATCTGGCATTTTCAAATTCTGTAAAACACTTTTAAAAAACATTTTTAAAAATTCTCCTTAGGGAACCAGAACTCTCTTTAAGAGTGTTCCTATTGCTTATATACTACGCTTAGCAGGGTGGGGTTAGAGTAGAAGAGATGGATAGATACGGTGCATAGCAGAATGCACGTACACACACATGCACGCACACACATCAAAGTTAGTCTCAGATGCTGCCCCGCCCCCTTGGCTCATGTCCATCCGGAGGTTGACAGCCTTGAACCCCCTCCTCTTCCCTCCATGTTCCTTTCATGTCTGCTCTTTCCATTCTGTTCATCCAATATGCTCCTTATGCTCGACTCATTCATGCCGTCTGCACTCCATGCCTGCCCTCCTCTTCCTCTCTCTGGGCCAGCCAGCCAGGCTGCTGTGATCTAACGCTGAATTGAGATCAGTTTTGCGGTGCCTCTCTCAGTGATAAGGCTTAAAGCTAGAACTGGTGAAGCTGTTTCAATATCCAAACGGATGAGTGACTTTTAGCCAGAAATGCTGCTGCAGCGACCAACAGCAGCCTCGCTTCTCTCGTGGCCATAACTGTGCCATCTGCTCGGAAACACTTGTTCACAAGAGGCTGTTCTCTGCTGCTGTTTACACACTAACTAGGCAGCTGCATGGTGGTAAAGCTGATGCACAATGCTGTTGCTGTTTGAGAAGACACAGGAACAGCTTCTTCCCTCAGTGCCTCTTTTCAATCATGCCAAAAACTAAAATGTGTGTACATTTCAAATACACTGCTGGGATTTACCGCTTCCATGTGCATAATGCTGTTTATGTGATATATAACAGACCGTACTATTTACTTATTCGTTGTTGCACATATTTTTAACAGTTGATACCTAATCTACCTCCTGCTTTCTGTTCCACTAGAAACCGTAAAATATTGCATATTTTTGTATTGTGTATATTGTGATTTTTATGTATTGGATATAAACTTTTGTCTTTGTGTGAGAACTTGCCATAAATTCCTAGAATATGAAAATGTATACTCTAAAAAGTTGTTTTTTAAATAGTTTTTACTGAGGTACCGAACAAATTGAGTAAAACAGTCCATACGCAGGTGCATTTCTGTTGTTTGTTCACAAATTATGTAGCAAGAACTTGTGTGGTTCAAGTATTTGACAGTGTTGCAATGAAATATACACCGATCAGGCATAACACTATGACCACCTCCTTGGTTCTAGGCTTATTGTCCATTTTATCAGCTCAACTTACTATATAATACTACATAGGACTGAGTATATATTAATACTATATATATTAATGTATATATTATTTTGTTAGCCCCCTTTTACCCTGTTTTTCAGTGGTCAGGACCCCCATGGACTCTCACAGAGCAGGTACTATTTGGGTGGTGGATCATTCTCAGTACTGTAGTAACACTGATGTCGTGGTGGTGTGTTAGTGTGTGTTGCGCTGGTATGAGTGGATCAGACACAGCAGTGCTGCTGGAGTTTTTAAAGACCTCAGTGTCACTGCTGGACTGAGAAGTGTGCACCAACCAAAAATATCCAGCCAACAGCGTCCTGTGACCACTGATGAAGGACTAGAGGATGACCAACACAAACTGTGCAGCAGCAGACGAGCTATCGTCTATGACTTTACATCTACAAGGTGGACTGACAAAGTAGGAATGTCTAATAGAGTGGACAGTGAGTGGACACAGCACTGCTGTGTCTGATCCACTCGTACCAGCACAACACACACTAACACTCCACCACCACATCAGTGTTACTGCAGTGCTGAGAATGATCCAACACCCAAATAGTACCTGCTCTGTGAGGGTCCATGGTGGTCCTGACCACTGAAGAACAGGGTAAAAGGGGGCTAAAAAGTATGCAGAGAAACAGATGGACTACAGTCTGTAATTGTAGAACTACAAAGTATACCTATATAGTAAGTGGAGCTGATAAAATGGACAATGAGCGTAGAAACAAGGAGGTGGTCATAATGTTATGCCTGACAGGTGTACATGCACATGTAATTTTGGTGAAAAGCGGAGTCCCCCCACCCCACCCTTTCGAAAACAAAACATATCATAAAATGTTGCCTATAGACTAACAACTGAAAGCTTTGCCATATTAATAGGGGTGAAACAATACACGAAGCCTATGATTTGATTCAATGCACGATGCTGGATTCATGCTTCAATATTCTCATGATATGTTGAAATTGAATGAAGAAAAATGGTTACTGTGTCCAGCTGTTGCATTTTATATATATATATATATGTATATATATATATATATATATATATATATATATATATATATATTCCACAATGCTCTGTCACATTTCCATGATGCACATTTTCATAGTGCAGTATCCAGGGTTCAATGCATGCAATCATTTTTGTTACTTATTCACAATATAAACTCTTTCAAAGTAGATGTAAATATTACAAACATTTGCCAAATAGGTATGCCAAAAAGTATGTGAACACCTGACCATTACACATATATGAGCTTGTTGGACATCCCATTCCAAATCCATGAGCATTAATATGAAGTTGCCCCACTTTTGCAGCTGTAACAGCCTCAGCTTTTCTGGGAAAGCCTTCCACAAGATTTTGGAGTGTGTCTGTGGGACTTTATGCCCATTCAGTTGAAAGAGCATTTGTAAAGTCAGGCACTGATGTTGCATGAGAAGGCCTGGCTCACAGATGGTGTTCCAATTCATACTAAAGGTGTTCAGCGGTGTTTAGATCAGGGCTCTGACCCATTCTACAGCCAGTGTTTTTCTATGAAGATTGCCTGGCTGTGTGCTTGATTTTATACCCCTGTTATAAATGACTATAGCTGAAACACCGGCATGCAATGAT